ATGCTTAATTAAATGTATCATGCATCAGTCATTTGGAAATATTTGTTCACTGATTAATGCCAGATCTCTCCAAATGTTAAAAACATTTCCATTATAAACAGAGAAAAAAAAAAAATCAAATCAATTGCTATAGTAGCAACCACTTATTGGCAAAGTATACGTCACTAGAAAGTGTCAGCTCATGGGAGTAGCAGATACGTTTCCCAGAATTCTAACTTTTGCTTGGAAGGCTAGACCATCACATTGTGTAACCAATATGTCTGTGCAAAAGAATAACTAAGTTCGACTAACCATAGTTCTTTAGTCCTCTCTCTTTCAAAGAAGTCCAACTCAGCAACTCAGTCATACATACGTCTTTCCTTGAAGACAGACGATCACAGGCTAAGGCGACAGCAGAAAATGAGTGTCCATGCACCTCAACAAAACTGAAAATAATGCTCAGGGGCCAAGATTCAATAAAATAACATTTCAACAAAGAATTTTACAAGTTAAACCTGCTTTTTTGCCCCTGCCAACTCTGAGTAGCGAAGGACACAATGATCCATTAAGTTTGGTTTGATTCATGTCAAAGCGCCTGCAATTTTACCCACTGTCACTGCAAATGTCAACAAAGTGGGGGAATAAAAGCAAACAATATCTTATATTTATATGAAAAATAGCTTGAACTCAGACCCCTGAAAAGGGATCGCAGAGTCCATGAAAGTATACTTTGAAAATTGCTTTACTGAAACTGATTATGTAGCAACACGAATGCCGGTTACATGTGCTATCTTAGAGTTAACTAGAGTTTCCAAGTTACTCCACATATGATCCAAGTAAGACAGTGTTGGGAAGAGGACAGGGGAATTCTACCATAATTCAATTAGATTGCTAATCCCAAAACAAGACATTAAAAATATAAGTTATCGGCCGGCGCGTGGCTCACGCCTGTAATCCTAGCACTCTGGGAGGCTGAGGCGGGTGGATTGCTCGAGGTCAGGAGTTCGAAACCAGCCTGAGCAAGAGCGAGACCGTCTCTACTAATAAATAGAAAGAAATTAATTGGCTACTAATATATATAAAAAATTAGCCGGCATGGGTGGCGCAATGCCTGTAGTCCCAGCTACTCGGGAGGCTGAGGCAGAGGCACTGCTTAGCCCAGGAGTTTGAGGTTGCTGTGAGCTAGCTGACGCCACGGCACTCACTCTAGCCTGGCAACAAAGCGAGACTCTGTCTCAAAAAAAAAAAAAATAAAGTCTAGCAGAAATTTTTTCCTACAGAATTTGATTATGAAATATTTGGCAAAAAGAATCTAATTCAAACCAGCTGTTAGACTCTTGCTGAGCAAGTGGTTGGTTATATAAAACTGCCAAAAGGCCCTTTGTGGGGAGGCCACGAGCCTCATGCCAAGTCGTTTTGCGCTTTGCCCTTAAAGTCTCAATAAAGCCCATGCTTATTCAATATTCCACACTTTTAAAGATCTTTTTCTCTTCAGTCCAAAGAAAGCTTATAGCAAAGACTTTATAAAATCAACGTCTTTCTACTATATCTAAGATCTGGTTAATTCCAGCACTGCACAAAATAAAATCATCTTCAATTTATTACTTTCACGTTTTAATACTTAAAACATATGCACAATACAGCTGGGTTTCCAAAAAGCATCTGTAAATGTGCAGTCCATGTTAATTTTATATACTCTAACATTATTTGACCATTGACTTATAATTCTTAATTTATCAGGGATTATCTAACTTAGAATAATCAGGTCATAAAATTTTTCTTTTCTTACTATGTGTTTATGGTATCTTTTTAAAAGGGAAAGGAACATTTCAGTCCTTTTTCATTGCTCCTATCAATGTCTCCTCCTCCCACTGACAAAGCAAAGCCAACCCACTTCTGGCCTTTGCCTCCTCCTGCAGGTTGGACACCTCCTGTCTGGTTCTCAGTGGCGACCCCAAACCAGGCTGGTTGCAAGAGGATGATTAAGCCGCCACTTAATTTATTGTGCAGTGCCTTCCAACCTGGCCTACAGGCCAAGCATAGAAAAACTAAAACTCTCCTCTGCTTTGTCTTTTTTTTTTTTTTTTTTTGAGAACCAGAGTCTCACTTTGTTGCCCAAGGCTAAAGGTGGAGTGCAGGTGTCAGCCTGGCTCACTAGCAACTCAAACTCTAAGGCTCAAAAGCCACAAAAATCCTCCTGCTCAGCCTACCGAGTAGCTGGGAATACAGCCATGCACCAACCATGCCCAGCTAATTTTTTGTATATATATTTAAGTTGCAAATTAATTTATTCTATTGTTTTGGTAGAGACGGGGTTCTAGCTCAGGCCTGGTCGAAAACTCAAAAAAATTAGCCGGGCATGGTGGCGCATGCCTGTAATCCCAGCTACTTGGGAGGCTGAGGCAGGAGGATCGCTTGAGCCCAGGAGTTTGAGGTTGCTGTGAGCTAGGCTGACGCCATGGCAGTCACTGTAGCCTGAGCAACGAAGTGAGACTCTGTCTCAAAAAAAAAAAGGGACTCCAGAATTTTCTAACAATATAAATAGTTTAAAATACCCATTTTTCTTTTCTGATTTTCTGCATATTTACTAATGTAATTCCTACCTGTATGTATTGCTCCTTTATCGTCTTATTACAAAGGTACAGAAATAGAAAGTACCTACGTGAAGTTCTTGAATAATTTAAAAACTTTAATGGCTTGATTAAGAAGTATGCTTTTAAAGGCTTATTTTCATACCAATTAAAGTACAAGCAACTATAAATGTATACGTATTTTCAAATCCTGTGACAAATGGAAAATGCTTTTATATAGTTGAGGCTGTTTTCTGCCTACTCATCTTGAAATTCATATTTGCAAGAAAGAAGTCGTCCTTCCATACCAGGATTGTTGATTACTTCTACTACAACTATATAAAAAGGTTTAAAACTAAATGAACACTATGAAGATCATTTATTACATTCCCTAGTCAAATTTTGTAGGTATTCACTGAAATTATTCTAGATGGGTAAACTGTAACCAAAACATGTAAGAGATGAGAAACAGAGTTTGTCTTTTGGTCAATTTCCTGATTTCTTTAGGCCACAGACATCTGAATATGTGGTACAAGCACCAAGTATGGTTTTAATAAGGCTTTGTGAGTCTCCCAACAATGTAATAAAGGGTGGTAACATGCATCCGAATGACATGGTGGCTTGTGGATGTGCACACTAAGACATACTAGACAAAGTGTAGGTGTGGACACACATGCACATGGAGTTCTAGCTCTCAAAGTGGTTTACCTTTAGCTATTTCAATGTATCTGGCAAAGCTGTAAATACAGTGTGACTAACAAGTACATGAGTTGACTTGTGAAATATAGAAAACTAGCCCTTACTCTCCCTTTCCTCAAGCTACCATATTTAAACAACTATGAGGCTGGGTAGTTTATTTCTTACAATATGAAGTTTAGCTGCTTGGTAGATACTAAAAGATGGTGAAAATCTAAGTTGTACTTTTCATTTAGGGAAGCATATGCCTCTGGATTCTTTAATTTTTTAAAGTTGTTTTAGAGACAGGGTCTCACTCTTGCTGAGCCTGTTTTCCAACTACTGGGCCTCCCAGAGTGCTAGGATTACAGTTGTGAGCCACCACACCTTGGATTCTTGAGGGTTGCACACCAGATGCTAGTGAAGAGCCCTATGAGGGTGCTGGCCTGAGCCATCAGAGCATCACAGTCTGTGGCCAAGACAAAAATCTCTCCCACAGCTCTTAATGTGGTGACCAAATTCTGTCTTTCCTTATGCTACAGAGACAATGGGGAGAGGCAGTGAGAAAGACGATGTGGATATCTTTTGTCAAGATAGGGTCTTGCTAGTCATTGGTATTATTGCTTGAATCATCAGTGTACGTGTGAGGAAAATAACAGCCAAGTTCTAAATAGTTGAGTTGTGTCATTGTGACAACATTAAAAATGCACCTCTGTGCTAGAGGGGCTATGGAAGGGCTACCTTGTAGTTCTAAAGCTGTGGAGATCCCTTTCTAAAAGCAACAGAAAGATAATTCACAAGACCTGCAGTTCTTGAAACTTTCTTTTTATATAAATATTATAAAACAAAATACATAGAAATTGGCAGATCAAAATTAAACCAAGATCAAGGTAAATGAAACCATGTTAGAAACTATAATTTTGCCTTCATTTTGAATACTTTGAAATGAAAAGCAATTTGTAAATATCTATATGTATACATACATCTATATAAAATGATAATCAAATTCACAGACTAGCCACAAGAGGGCGCTTCCACAATGGGAAGCGACCAGCAAGCTTATTTCTCCTAGAGGTGCTTAGTTAAGTGTCAGGCATATATTTTCAAACTTTTGATGAGCATTTTCTACTTGTATTTTAAGGCTGTCTATCCATAACTTGGATACATTGACTCTCTAGTTAAGAAGTTTTAGAATCTAACACTTGGAATTTTTACAGTTCATTTAATGAAGGACTCAATTTACCATGTTGTACATAGGGTGTTATGAATGTGCTTAGAGCCATGTATGAGGCTTAGGAAAACTTTGCCAGTGAAACCAGGTTTCTTTCCATCATCACTTCTAGCTGCTATAGTTTAGTGCATTTTAAAATCCGGTACATATGAAGATGGGTTTACTTTAAAATATAGTCATGTACTCTACTTAAGTACTCATGTCACTTACCAGAGAAGTGCATCATTAGGCAATTTTGGCACTGTTAACATCAGTATTTACACAAACCTAGATGGCAGAGCCTATTCTACACCTCGGCTGTATGGTATAGCATATTGCATTGGCTACACATCTGTACAGCATGTTACTACATTGAATACTATAGGCAAGTGTAACAACGGTAACTATTTGGGCATCTAAACATAGAAAAGGTACAGAAAAAATACAGTAGTCTTATGGGACCACTCACATGTGGTCTGTCATTGACCAAGAAGTTGTCATGTGGCACACGACTATATAACAGTTCCATTTAATTAGTGTTAGAAATGAAATGTCAACATCTCTACCTAGAGAGACTTCCTTGATCAGCTCAGCAGCAGCATGGCAACCCTGAACAAGTATCCTGGTCCAGGTTGACAGATCCCGATGTGTCTCCACCCTGAAGAGATGCATCTCAATGCCCTGCCGAGAGCCTGTCCTGGTAGCAAACGTAAGGTCAGATCCAAGTGAGGGCGATCGGCATCCGGAGCCAGAATGAACCAACCTAGGACCATAAAGCAGAAATCAAAAGTAATTACTGCATTATGAAAGGAAGATGTTAGGAATTATGCTCACTGATAAGCAGAAACTTCTGCAAAGAGAAAAGATTATTAATCTTGAAGCCATCAGCAAAGTAGACACCATTGTTTTCTCATAAAATGACCCCTGGTGTCAGACACCATCCTGAGCTGGACAGACTAGGCCCCAATTTTCCATAGGTTCTTTCATGTTCCCAAGAGGCTATGCATGTAAAAAAGATGCAATTTGATTGGTAGGAAATAAATTATCAATAACTTTAGAGAGAAGATATGCTCCTATAAGGAAAAGTGGATAGGTGACTGCATTTCAATCTTTTCAGCCAAAGAACTTCTAATGAGCACCAATTCTGGGGTGATGAAGGGTTGTAGTTAGTAAAGACACACAGCAAAAACAAATGAGTTTTATCTTAAAAATTCATGCTGCTATACATTTGACTGACCTATGAAGAAATGTCATATGAATAAAATGCAGATTTCATGACTGACTACATACATAGAAAATCCCAATGAATAGACAAAGAAATCCCAAGACAACTCCTGGAACTAATATGTCTTTCAACCTCAGTGAAATTGCTTAAGGTTAATATACAAAAGCCAGTTGCGTTGAACTATTGAAATATGAAATTAAAATACAATGCCATTTATATCAGAACCATAAAAAATATATAGGCATAAATGTAACAAAATATGTACACGATCCCTGAGGCAAACTGTAAACCTTTGAAAGAAATCAAAGAAGATGTAAATAAATGGAGAGGGCAGGTGTGGGGGCTCAAGCCTGTAATCCCAGCACTTCGGGAGACTGAGGTGGGAAGATTACTGGAAGCCAAAAGTTCAATACCAGCCTGAGCAACATTGCAAGACCCTGTATCATAAAAGTTTTAAAAGTTGTCTGGAAGTGGTAGTAAATGCCTGTAGTCCTAGCTACTCGGGAGGCTGAGGATCATTTGAGCCCAGGAGTTGGAGGACACAGTGAGCTATGAGTGGGCCACTGTACTCTAACCTGGTTGACAGAGCAAGTCCTTATCTCTAAAAGCAAACAGATATTTTGTGTTCATGGTGAGGAAGGCTCATATTAAGGTGTCAATTGTTCTCAACCATATTTACAGATGCAATGCACTCCCAATTAAAATCCCACCAAGTTATTTTGTAGATACTGACAAATGGATGCCAAGTCTATGTGGAAAGGCCAAACACCCAGATAGCCAACACAATACTAAGGAAAAGTTGAAAAACTGGTACTGTAAAGCTATGGTAATCAAGATGGGCAAAATAGCCAAAGTGATCAATGGAATAAACAGCCTAGAAATAGACCCACACAAATACAGCCAACTGACCTTGACAAAGGAACCAAGGCAATGCAAAAAAAAATTTTTTTTTCAAATGGTGCTAGAAACAAGTAGATATCCATATGCAAAAAAAAAAAATCTAGACATATTTTATGAAAAGTATAAAGTCTAACTCAAAGTGGTTCTTAGACCTAAATATAAAATTATAAATTTTTTAGAGGACAACACAGGAGAAAATCCCAGTGATGTAAAAAGATACAAGAACACAATTCATTAAGGAAAAAATTGATAAGCTGGACTTCATTAAAATTACAAACTTCTAATCTGCAAAAGATTACTGGTAAGAGAATGAAGAGGCCAAGTGCAGTGGCTTATACCTATAACTGTGGCACTTTGGGACTGCTGGAGGCTAGGAGTTCTACACCAGCCTGGGCAACACAGCAAGATCCCGCCTCTACAGAAAAAGAAAAAAATTTGGTGGGGTGGCATCCCGTAGTAGTCCTAGCCACTTGAGAGGCTGATGGAGGAGGATCACTTGAGGCCAGCAGTTTGAAGTTGCACTGAGCTATGATTGTACCACTACACATATAATTTCTAGACAAAAAGGAAAGAACATAACTTATACTGTTAATGAAGGCTGGGTACAGTGGCTGACACCTGTAATCCTGGCACTCTGGGAGGCCGAGGCATGATGATCGCTTGAACTCACAAATTCAAGACCAGCCTGAGCAACAGTGAGACCCCATTTCTACTAAACATAGAAAAAAGTAGCAGGGAACATAGCAGCATGCACCTATACCCCTAGCTACTCGGGAGGCTGAGGCTGGAAGACTGCTTGTGCCCAAGAGTTTGATGTTGCTATGAAGAGGTGACAGTGTAAGACTCTGTCTCAAAAAACATATATTTTTTGAGACAGAGTCTCACTTTGTTGTTAAAGGTAGAGTGAGTGCTGTGGCATCAGCCTAGCTCACAGCAACCTCAAACTCCTGGGCTCAAGCGATCCTGCTGCCTCCCGCGTAGCTGGGACTACAGGCATGCGCCACCATGCCCAGCTAATTTTTTATATATATATCAGTTGGCCAATTAATTTCTTTCTATTTATAGTAGAGACGGGGTCTCGCTCTTGCTGGTTTCAAACTCCTGACTTTGAGCGATCCGGCCCGCCTCAGCGTCCCAGAGTGCTAGGATTACAGGCGTCAGCCACCGCAGCGGCCTGGCAAATATTCTTACACAATCAGATTTAATTGGTCTAGTGTAGGTCTCAGGCAACCTTATTCGATTGAAATGTGTATCCCTAATTGAGAACCACTAACCTAGTGGTTTGCCAACTTTTTGATATGAGGACCCAAACTCTTAATACTTACTAATAATAAATTAGAAATTTTAAAATTTCTAATTTAATTCATTTAAATATAAAAATAAAACTTCCAATTTTTTATTAAAATATTTCCCAAAATTAACAAATAGCATTATTTTACATTTTTATAAATCTAAATGTCTAGCTTAATAAGAAAGATCTGAATTTTCCCGGTTGCTTCAGCATTTTGTTGCATTACATAGTTATAGTGTATGAGGAAAATCCAGCCTCACACCAATATGTAGTTGGAAAGGAAGGAGCATTGTAATAGCCTTTTCAGGTAATTGTGGACAGCCTCTGTCAACGGAACCTAAACTCAACAAGCAGTTTTGTAAAGGTTAATTAGAATGTGCAGTCTGAAACTTTATCAATAAAGTTTCTGTGTCATTTTACATTAAAAATCAACTGGTGTCTCTTGCACTTTTGAATGGATCTTTTTAACTTATGCATGCTTTTATAATGTATCATGCATCAGTCATTTGGAAAATATTTGTTCACTGAGTTATGCAGATTCTCCAAATGTTAAAAACATTTCATTATAAAAGAGAAAAAAAAATCACATTTGCTAGTAGTAGCACCACTTATTGGCAAAGTATGTCCTAGAAAGCTGTCAAGCTCAGGGTAGCAGATACGTTTCCCAGAATTCTAACTTTTGCTTGTAGGCTACCAATACAATTGGTGTTTTCCTTGTCTGTCAAATACCTAAGTCTGACTAACCATAGTTCTTTAGTCCCTCATTCTTTCAAATGAGTTCAACTCACAACTCAGTCATACATATTCTTTTCCTTAAGACAACGATCACACTTAACGGGCACAGCAGAAATAGAACACTAAAAAGATGAATGCTCAGGGGCCAAGATTCAATAAAATTAACATTTCAACAAAGATATTTTAAAGTTAAACTGGCTTTTTTGCCCCTGCAAGTCTGAGTAGCGAAGGACACAATGACCATTAAGTTTGGTTTGATTCATGCAAAGGCGCCTGCAATTTTACCCACTGTCACTGCAAATGTCAACAAAGTGGGGGAATAAAAGCAAACAATATCTTAGTATTACTATGAAAATAGCTTTGAACTCAGACCCCCTGAAAAGGGGATCCCCAGAGGTCCATAAAGTATACTTTGAAAATTGCTTTACTGAACTGATTATGTAGAACTACAATGCCGGTTACATGTTGGCTATCTTAGAGTTAAATAAGTTTCCAAGTTACTCCACATATGATCCAAGTAAGACAGTGTTGGGAAGAGGTACAGGGGTATTCTACCATATTCAATTAGATTGCTAATCCCAAAACAAACATTAAAAAATATAAAGTCTAGCAGAATTTTTTCCTACAGATTTCGATTATGAAATATTTGGCAAAAGGAATCTAATTCAAACCAGCTGTTAGACTCTTGCTGAGCAGTGGTTGGTTAAGACACACTGCCAAAAGGCCCCCCTTTGTGGGGAGGCCACATGAGCTCATGCAAAGTCGTTTTGCAGCTTTTGCCCCTTAAGTCTCATAAGCCCAATGCATTCAATATTCCACACTTTTAAGATCTTTTTCTCTTCCAGTCAAAGAAAGCTTATAGCAAAAGACTTTATAAAATCAACGTCTTTCTACCTATATCATAGATCTGGCTTTAATCTCCAGCACTGCACAAAATAAAAATCATCTTCATTTATTACTTTCACGTTTTACTTAAACATATGCACACATACAGCTGTGGTTTCCAAGCATCTGTAAATGTGCAGTCCATGTTAATTTATATCACTCTAACATTATTTGACATTGACTTATAATTCTTAATTTATCAGGGATTATCTACTTAGATAATCAAGGTCCATATTTTCTTTTCCTTACCTATGTGTTTATGGTATCTTTTTAGGGAAAGGAAACATTTCAGTCCTTTTTCATTGCTCCTATCAATGTCTCTCCCTCCACACTGACAAGACATAAGCACCCCCTTTCTGGCCTTGCCTCCTCCTGCAGGTGGACACCTCCTGGTCTGGTTCTCTCAGTGGCGACCCCACCCAGCTGGTTGCAGAGGATGATTAAGCCCCACTTAATTCTATTGTGCAGTGCCTTCCACCTGGCCTACATGGCCACATAGAAAAACTAAACCTCTCCTCTGCCTGTTGTCTTTTTTTTTTTTGAGACAGAGTCTCACTTTGTTGCCCAGGCTAGAGTGAGTGCCGTGGCGTCAGCCTAGCTCACAGCAACCTCAAACTCCTGGGCTCAAGCGACCCTGCTGCCTCAGCCTCCCGAGTAGCTGGGACTACAGGCATGCGCCACCATGCCCGGCTAATTTTATATATATGTTAATTGGCCAATTAATTTCTTTCTATTTATAGTAGAGACGGGGTCTCGCTCTTGCTCAGGCTGGTTTCGAACTCCTGACCTCGAGCTATCCGCCCGCCTCAGCCTCCCAGAGTGCTAGGATTACAGGCGTGAGCCACCGCGCCCGGCTGAAATTTTTCTTTTTATAAAAATATAATTACATGTAAGGGAACTTGGTGAGTTGAGAGAAATCCTATATAAAGTAAAAGTCTTTCTGGCATGCAAAGAATATTCTTCCTTTCAAGAATCTGTCTACTCAAAGCAGGAAATCCCCCCCCATTGTTCCCCTTGGGCTATACCAGATGGTTCCATCATTTAGCTCTTTTGACTACCAAATACTTTTACTGTGGGGCTCCTTTTTAATGTGTAGTTTTTGAGTTATATCAACACCCCATTCTTTAAGTCCAAATAGAACTGAATTGGAATATATTTTCCATTCCTGGCCCCCAAATCTAATTTTCACTATTCTTTTCCCTTTCAACCCCCACATCTGGCATGGTAGAAACATCCTGTAGCTTTAGGCCAAATCAATGTTTATTTTGTATAATCAAAATTATGTGCTCCTTATATTAGAGAAAGAGAAGTTGAAGAATATTTCGGCTGAATTGTATGGTTTATCCACAGTACCACATTCTGGTTTAAATGATTTCATCACTCAGTCAAAAGGCTGCAGTGGTTTTCTAGTCACAGTCAATAAAATAAAGAAAAAGTCCCTATTATCTTCATGACTATGCAAGCCTTGAAAAGGAACAGTTATAGAAAGTTGCTTTAACAACTTAGAAAGTGCACACAAAAATACTAGTGACAGAAACAATTTATTCTGAGCCAGGAGCTGCAAAATGATCAATAAGGTTGTTAAAGAAAAGTTTTTATCTACATCAACTATTTATCACCTATTTAAATGCTACTTAAGACACCTAAGATAATACGATTCACTTTAAAACTGTTTGGTAGATTTAGAGTAGGATAATTATATTACTTTTTTGTCTTTAGTCTTACCTTGTAGCAACAAGAGGGTAGCTATGACATGGTGATGCCCAGGCATCTCTTGTCCATGGCATACAATCATAGAGCAGAAGGTCCTTCTCAGTCACAGCCATCAGGACAGGTCTCCATTGCTGTCTTCCACCATCTAGTTTTGCCTGTTATAGTGATAAAATCCAGAAATCAGAGCTAACTGTAATGATATGTCTTTATAGAATAAAAAGTTCCTTTAGTGATAGAATGGAAACTCACCGTGGTAGGCCATCTCCCCATCCTAACAGACTTAGCCTACGAGAGACTTCCTACCCACTGGTAAGGATTCTCCACTAGGAGGTGTGAGGTAGTGTGTATATTTGAAAAAGATCTCCCTCAGTGAGTTGAAGACATTATTTAGTCATACAGTATAGTTTTTTCCCCCATTCCACAATAACTGAATATCACCAATTTTTTTTTTTTTTTTTGGAGACAGAGTCTCACTCTGTTGCCCTAGGTGAGCTACCACCATGCCTGGCCTGAATATCATTTGTATGTGATACAATACTTGTATGGTATTGTAATTACAATTACCAATTGTAATTAAGTACATAGTAATGTGTTCAAAATAATAGTTTCAGTTTTCTAATGTGTGAGTAACATCTTCTAAGTACATGATTGAAACTACTACTACCTAGTCCTATTAGGATAGAAATCCTACAAAATGAGTCTCTATGATCTAAACATAAATGTTTTCCAAATGTTTTTGATCAAGAACTATAATAAATGTTTTACATTGCAACCCAGTACACACATACATAGATAACTGAATAATACATTTTCCAAAACAACAACTCTACATTTTGTGCAATGTACTCTGATAATAATTCTACTTTTTTAAAATGCCAATCATGGCTGGGCATGGTGTAATCCAAGAACTTTGGGAGGCTGAGGTGGGAGGATTGCTTGATGCCAGGAGTTCCAGACCAGCTTGGGCAACATATTGAGACCCTGCCTCTACAAATAATAGGAAAATTAGCTGTGCATGGTGGCATACCCCTGTAGTCCTAGCTACTGGGGAGGATGAGGCAGGAAGATCGCTTGAGCCCAGGAGTTGAGGCTGCAGTGAGCTCTAGTCCCAAAAAATGTTGTGTTTTACAAAACACTGATACATTGTCAAAGAGTTTCTCATTTTATTTTAAAAAGCTTATATTTCTGCTTCAAATATACCATTGCACTTACTTGTATAAAATTCAGTTATCTCTGAAAAGGTTTAAAAATGCAGGAAAACAAGCACTATTTATCCATACTGTCAACGATCCAAGGCCAAAAAGTAAAAGACTATATTCAAGAAAAGGCCTATCATCAAAACTTTTGCCCTCCTCAGATGAGACCTTTCAGCAAGGACTGTTTAACAACACTGTATATTAACAATGATCCTTCAGCTCACTATCACTGACAGCTTCAAGTAGATCAATCATTTGCCTCTTAAAGAGTTGTGTTCAGAGCCACTTTTCATTGTCTTTTCCTTAATGACTTATGAAAGTAACTTGGACACGGCAGAACATCTTACATCTATAATCTGACAGTGGCCTAAGTGGTTCGGTTGTACACCATCTACCACAGGGACTCTTTTCTCCTAGCCAGAGCCACCAGCTAGATTCCAAGAGTGGTAAACAAACTCCAGCTACTATGTGCTGAAGGCAACAAAAAACATAACCCAACTCTGAGAATTGAAGCATAGTACTATAGAAATAATTACACATTTCTTATCAGTGAACTCTAATTTTCTAAGACTATATATATTAGTCTACAGGTAACTCTGCAATATCAGCTCTAAAGACATTCCCTCAGTTCTTATATTTTTGGATCATAGATACCCCAAAGGGAATTCTAGTTTATGTTCACTAGAGTAAGTCTTTCTCCCCAAGATGATTATGGACAATATTTCAATAGGGAAAATAATATAAAATCTGCCCAAGGAGTTAAAATGATTTTTAAAACTAAATTTTTTCCCCTAAGTTACAGGAGAGATTTTGAAAAATTTAATATACTGATTTTGCTTAACAGTGTTGTTACTAGAACTTCAAAAACAAAACGACACCACGCCTGGCTACTCTTTTCCATTTGTGGTAGAGATGGGGCCTTGCTCTTGCTCAGGCTGGTCTCTCAAGCAGTCCTCTCCTGCCTCGGCCTCCAGGAGTGATAGGATTACAGCTGTGAGCCACTCCACCTGGTCATAATTAACTTTTTTTTTTTGAGTCAGGGTCTCTGTTGCCCTGGCTAGTGTGCGGTGGCATCAGCCTAGCTCACAGTAACCTCAGACTCCTGGGCTCCAGTGATCCTACTGCCTCAGCCTCCCAAGTAGCTGGGACTACAGGCATGCACCACCATGCCCAGCTAACTTTTTGTATATATTTTTAGTTGACCAATTTCTATTTTTAGTAGAGACAGGGTCTCACTCTTGCTCAGACCGGTTTCGAACTCCTGACCTTGAGTGATTCGCCCACCTCAGCCTCCCAGAGTGCTAGGATTACAGGCCTCGTGAGCCACTATGCCTAGCCAATTAACAATTTTTTAAAGTGTTTATTCTTTAGCTCTTTTAAGTCCTTAGTTTTTACAGAACATCTTTTCCGTCTTCTAGTTACTACTGAAGAAAAATGAACCCTCAATTTTAGTCATTCTGTTTGCTTATCTGCCTTAATTTTTAAGGATACTGTTTGTTTTCACTAGAGTCAAAATGCTGCCTGCTATATATAGTATGTGTTTTCGGTTGTGGTATCTGCACAAGCAGCCTTGGGGATCCACTACTGAGTTTTTGGCTGGAGAAAAAACGAATACTAAATTTAGGGTTTTAGTTTGCTTGTGTTTCAACACTCACATATAATTCACCTGGCCAAACAACAGCCTTCTCCAAATTTTATGTCCTAATAGATAGAGTTGGATAGCACTAAAGATGAAAAAACACTAATAGTTATTATTCATTCCCTAGATCCCTTAATCCTCTAAATCTCTCTTTTTGACAGGCGATACACTTCTTTTTATTTTATTATTACAGTAGAAATCGGAAAGCAAAAACTAAATAAATCTTCATCTTTGGTGCAGGGGTGGAGGAAAAACTAAATCATTCCACTACTCCAGAGTTAGTGTGTATGTTCCTAATTTCACTCTTATACAATTTGGCATTATCAGGGACAAAGTAGGAACTGTTAAGGCAAAGCTTTTCTTTGGCTGTTCTCATCAATACCCAAATGCATCTAAAAACTGATTTCATAGGTAATACACATGTCCTCCATTTGGTCAACTCAAAACTTCCTTTTATGAATATAACCAGGCCTGGCAAGGTGGCTCATGCCTTTAATCCCAGCACTTGGGAGGCCGAGGTGCAAATCATATCAGACCATAAGTTTGAGACTAGTCTGGGCAACATAGCACGACTCTGTCTCTAAAAAAATTAAAAATAAAAAAAATCAGCCAGGGCCGGGCGCGGTGGCTCACGCCTGTAATCCTAGCACTCTGGGAGGCCGAGGCGGGCGGATTGCTCAAGGTCAGGAGTTCAAAACCAGCCTGAGCGAGACCCCGTCTCTACCATAAAAATAGAAAGAAATTAATTGGCCAACTAATATATATATATATAAAAATCAGCCGGGCATGGTGGCTTGTGCCTGTAGTCCCAGCTACTCGGGAGGCTGAGGCAGGAGGATCGCTTGAGCCCAGGAGTTTGAGGTTGCTGTGAGCTAGGCTGACGCCACGGCACTCACTCTAGCCTAGGCAACAAAACGAGACTCTGTCTCAAAAAGAAAAAAAAAAATCAGCCAGGCATGTAGTTCTAGCTATTTGGGAGGCTGAGGTAGGAAAATCACTTGAGCCCAGGAATGAAGGTTGTAGTGAGCTATGATCAGGCTACTGCACGCCAGTCTGAGTAACAGAGCAAGACCCCGTCTCAAAGTATTAAAAATTTTAAAAAGGGGCCAGGCGTGGTGGCTAATCCTAGCACTCTGGGAGGCCAAGGCAGGTGGATCACTCAAGGTCAGGAGTTCGAAACCAGCCTGAGACCCCGTCTCTACCAAAAAATAGAAATAAATTAATTGGCCAACTAAAAATATATACAAAAAATTAGCTGAGCAGGGTGGTGAATGCCTGTAGGCCCAGCTATGTGGGAGGCTGAGGCAGAAGGATTGCTTGAGCCCAGGAGTTTGACGTTGTTGTGAGCTAGGCTGACGCCACGGCACTCTAGCCCGGGCAACAGACTGAGACTCTGTCTCAAAAAAAAAAAATAAATAAAAAAAGGATAAAGGACCCAAATAGATATTCTCAAAAGACATCAGCTATACAAAAAATTACCCAACATCTCTAGTCATCCGAGAATGTAAATTAAAATGACAATGAGATATCACCTCACACCTGTTAGATTGGCTATTAGCAAAAAGATGAAAGACAGTGGTGTGGAGAAAAGGGAACCCTTCCACACTGTTGGTGGGAATGTAAATTATTATAGTCATGTGAGAAAACTATGTAGGTCTTCAAAAAACTGAAAAAGGAACTACCCTATGATGCAGCAACCCCACTTCTGGGTAAATATCCAACGCAATTGAAATCAGTATGTCAAAGATACGGCTACACCCCCATGTTCAATGCAGCATTATTGACAATAGCCAACATATGGAAACAACCACTGTGCCTGTCAACGTACAAGTGGGTTAAAAAAAAGTGACTCATATATACATAATGGAATACTATTCAGCCTTTAAAAAGCAGGAAATTCTGTCATTTGTGACAACAAAGATGGACCTATAGGTCATTATGATAAGTAAAATAAGTCAGGCACAGAAAAACAAATATGTCACTTACGTGTAGAAGGGTAGTTCCCAGATGCTGGGGATGGGTGGTAGACAGGGAAAGGGGACATGTTGGTTAAAGGGATACAGGCCCTAGGTGCGGGGGCTCATGCCTGTAGTCCTAGCACTTTGGGAGGCTGAGGTGGGAGGATTGCTTAAACCCAGGAGTTTGAGGTTGCAGTGAGCTATGATGATGCCACTGCACTCCTGATCAGGCAATAAAATGAGATTTTGTCTCAAAAAAAAAAAAAAAAAAAGGTTCTGGTGATGCATTACATAGTAGTAGCACAGGCATTATAGTTAACAAAATGTACTGTGTATTTTAAAATAGCTAAAAGAAAGGATTT